AAGCTGCCGAAGTGAAGCGAGCAGGAGGAAACGAGAAAATAGCAAGATTTGATCGCAGCGTTCGATCGCTTGTGACATGTGATATTCCTTGAACAAGGGACTCAATCGAGCCGGTTTAAGTTTCCTCTGCTTCTCGCATGGCTTCTATGACTTGATATGTTATCTGTCTGACCTCTTTCTGCCAAACGGTGTAGAAAGCTCCGTGAAAATAAAGCAAATAGCGTGGAAAAGCACAATCATTTTGGCCTTCAGAAGTGCTGTTGGGATATAATTTATTCATCCAATCTCTAAATACAGCTCAAGTATGACATCATCTCGCCACCCAAAAGTGCATGCGTATGTGTGTATACTGTGAAATTTAGGCAAAGGACAGAGAAGCAACACCACAAGTGAAAGGGGAGGTGACTGGATCAATGTATATAGCTTGAAGAATTATACTCTTTACAGCAAGCAAATGAAGGTCCTTTCGGATGTGAGGGTGAGGCACGTACAGGTGCTTGTCAGGGGTATGGGGTGAGACCGTCCACGGTGACAACCCCAGGTGAACCCGCCCCGGCCCAGTGGAGACTGGGGGGTACTGAGAGGTCTTGCAAAACCTGTTGCGGAGAACCCTGGTAGCTCACCTTTTCATAAGGCTTCCCTTTCACATCAAACAGGGCTAATACATCTGACCTTTTGCATTGAACAGATTCCGTTCTGTGTCAATCAAATTACAACGAATAAAATATGTCGTTGGAGCTTTAATATCTTTTACGAATGTTATAACACCCAAATTTCTCCTAATATTAAACAAATTGGCTAAATCGCGATCAAGTTCAATCGGTTTTAACCCAAAATTTTTGATTACAAGCTGGCCAACAGGTTGATTTATTTCTGTTACAAGGTCATATTTATATTTTGCGAACAGCCCGTCTATTTTGTTTGCCAAGCTTTCTAAATTATAATGTCCTAGGGGTAATTTACTAACTGACAAAGCTCTATCTTTGTTTTTATCTCCCAAGGAGGCCGAACCTTCTTTTTTCAAAGTGTCCCAGCTGTTGAATAAACTTCAAGATATGAGTTTCATGAAATGCACTTTCGGTATCAGTTCGTCAAAAGATATTGTCGCGCCGTTCTCTTGCGTGACAATAGTGAGAACAACCATTTTTATATTTAACTAACAATAATTATGTTCAAATACAATGCCGAATCGGTGCGACGATATCAATCAAGATCCCGGGTTTGGTGACCCCAAGTTTTTGAAAAAAGATGCTGCGAAGAAAAAGGCGTGGACAAACTTTTTAAACCGCTTTCCAAAAGCGGACAAAAGCCGGTTCATTTCACAAGAAATGATCGACAAGAAAAAAATGTAACCGCAGAGGTGTTTTTCAAAGAAAGCGAAGGCTCATTTCAAAGCGTCTTCAGTTCAGACAGAAAATATTGGAGCGCCGAAATGAAAGAAGCGCTCGGTTTGGGAGACAGCGGGGATTTTCCTTACCAGCTGTCACCACTTGGTTGAAAAGTTTCTTTGCCAATCCCTGCGGTACCTTTCAATGGCAAAGCGCCAAGCTTGAAGAAAATATTCAACGCCGAAATCAAAATCTATGTCACGCCTGACCAATATTTCATGACAAAATTCCGAGAAATATTTCAAGAAACCAAACTCAGGCACACTTCTGGAACCGAATCAAAACACTGGTTAGGAGGGCCTGACATGAAATATTGGCTGCAACAGCTCAACTTTGCGGTTTTCTGCACAACACAGGGGTGCAGAGTTTCTCGCGAAATCTTTGAGAGCAGGATGAATCTCCCACCGCAGATAAGAGCTTTTTATATCTTCCACGTGTATTTCACGGTCAGGTGCATTTTGTACCAGCTAGGAGGAATTCAGAGCATAAGCGCTTTGCCCGAAGAGCCGATTTTCAACCAAATGAATAATCATTATGACGTTGCTTTGTACAAAAGGATATGCGGCGAGGTCGGCATAGACCTTTAAAGCGACTTTAGGTTTACTTCGGGTGCAAATAGTGGTTTGGGGGTGTTGTATGTTAAGCCTTAGGGGGAATTGCCAACAAAAACAGATTATAAGTATCCTGGGTGGAACAAGTTTAGCGATGATGGTGGAAAACTGATTAAGGGAACCTTTTTGAGTTTATACGGCCTGATCTTTTTGGAGATCGGCAGTTCGACTGGTTTGCACCCAATGCCGCGAATGGCTTGACCCAGGCAGGCCTGGCAAGGATAAACCAGTCAATTGAGGCTTTCGTTTACTGCGTTCTGGGTGCGCAAGTCAACGTCCGCAGCAGTATTCTCGGTTCTGGTGGCCGGGCGAAAGAAGCCCAAAACGAGTTCCTGGTGCTGATGGAAAGTGCGATCACACAGCCCGACCTGGCCACGAGCGTGCAAAGGTACCAGCTCGCAGTGGATCAAGCGAAGGTCAGGCTCAAGCTCGCTATAGCCCCCATGGCCTGGCTTATGCCCGCGCAAATGATAATCAACACCGCAAGCACGGTTGGTTACAACAAGAAGCTAAAGCAGGCGGTCTCCGGGATGAAACTGGGTGAACAACGAGGTAAATCCAGACACAAAAAAAGCTGGGCTCAAACTAATGGTAGGCGGCCTGTCAAAAATTAACCCTCCCAATAGCCATCCGTCCAACCCGATACACAAAGCCGCAACAGCTGAATCAAGGAAATCATCTTCAAACAAAACTAAGCAAGCACAACCAACGGCGCAAAAAATAGAGCCAAAGGCTCCAGATAAAACACCGCAACACGAAATAAACAAAACAGCGGTAATTGTCGGTGTAGTTGGATTATCGGCTTTACTGTTCATGGCTTGGCAGTAAGTTAACGTCGCTTCTTAATATATTGTTCAAACAAACATGCCACTGTGGCAAGAATGAGCAGCCAGGTGTGCTCAGCCAGAAACCCGACGACTTGGCCGGCGGCTTTGAATAGAAAGCTCACAATCGAGCCAATAAGCCCGGGCTGCAGAGAACCAAGTTTCGCGGCAATATCTTTGAGGCCATTTCTCAAAGCTTTGCTGGTGGCTTTCAAACCTCTGGTGAGGGTCCCGATGACAGCTCCGATTGTGGTCCCAGCGGCGATAAGAATAGCAGTCAATGTCACGCCATATTTTTTGAAGATCTCTTTTACCCTTTCCAAGAGAGGCCGCCCCCTTTCCCTTTCCGCAATCTGAGTTTGCAAACCTGTGAGCTCCTCGTTTCTTTCTGCCACCCTCTCTCTTGCATCTTCTTTGTCGGAGGGCGAGGCATTCTCATCTTGGATGATTGCCTGGTCTTCCTCATTTTGGCGCTGCAGCTCGCTTTCCTGCTCTTTCAGGTCGTCCAAAGGTTTTTTTTGGTTGAGCCTTTCTTCCATGGTGTTTGTTTCACTTTCTTTTGGTGCGAGGCTGGCCCTGAGTCTGTCAACCTTGGGTTGTTCTTTTTCTCTGTTTATTGCTTTTTTTGTTAGCGAGTCCAATTCTTTTTTCTTGTTTTCAAAATAGCTTTGATAGTTCTTTTTCAGTTGTTTCAGCCTTCTGAGCTCTGCTTCACTTTCAAGATTCGAACCTCGTTCATCCTGAATGGCATCAATCTGAGCATTAGTTTGCTCGATTTTACGTCTCAGGACTTCCACTTCTTTCTTTTCTTCTTCTCTTTGTGAAGAGAGTGTTTCTGCCTGTTGTAGTTGGATCTCTGCCTCTCTTAAACTTTGGTGTTGTTCTCTGATTGTGTCGCGGTCTTCAGCTATAATTTCTTCAGCCTTCGGTCCAAGTTCATCTTTAAAGCTGTCTAAAAAATTTTTCATAACACCTGACTCATCATCTTTTAGAATCTTGTACTCACCCTTTCTAGACCCCACAGCAACAATTTTTCCCTCATTTTTTTCAGTGCTCTTCTAATTTTGATTTTTTCAAATTTTGCTTTAGGGTATTTGACTTTTATCGCATCCACAGCTTTTTTGAGTTTTTGCCGCAAATAGCTTTCTTTTTGAAGATCACTGATTGAAGGTGTTCTTTGAAGCAAAGGGGTTCCTTCCTGATAAGAAGTGTCAGGAAGGCCGGACTGCTCGTGCTGCATGGTATGCATTTCCGTTTGTTCACCCACGTGGTAGGGGATGGCAGGTTGGTAGGGAGTTGATGTCGTGCCTGGGTCAAAAGTTTGGGTTCTGTTAACCTCTTGTGTGTCATCGTCGTTGTCGAGCTGCTCGTCAAGGTACGGTTCTTTGTAACCAAATTCGCCGCAGTCTTCCGACATAGCAATATATTTCAAGCCTGTTATTTTTTCAATTAGAAAATAATCGCCGGTGTATTGATACACAATGGAAGTTCCAGATAACCTTTGCCCAACGTACAACGAAAAGACATTAAACGCTCCGAAGCCAACCCCGGGGATAAGCTGTATGTTTCCGTGCCCAAGCTGTACGAGAACAAGGTTCTGGTGCCGGGCTCGCTAGCGCTTCGCTTTCACATCGACATTTCTGGAGGGCACGCCAACAACTTCCTTGTTCAGAACGTCACGTGGGCGCTCGTTGACAGGCAGGTCGTGAAGTTTGCAGGCACTATCCTGCAAGACACGGTTGACTAAGACCTTTTCCTTTCACAGGAAAAGCGAGATGGCATGCTTCTCGAAGGGATTCAGAGCGAGGATCTATGCAAGATCCGCTCAGGCATGGGAGACAAGAAAACGTCGGGTGTTGACACTGAAAACAAGCTGAACAAGGTATACGGAAGCAAGTACCAGATCAGGCTTGACCACCAGATTTTAACCAACCACGGTGTTTTCTACCCCCAGGCCTTTACAACGACCTCATGTTCGAAGTAAAACTTGCTGAAGCTAAACATGTGGTCAGGGGCTCCGACACAACCCAGCTGAAATACAAGCCGACAAACATCCAGTTTGAGTACGAAACGATCCGCAGCAAGACTCTGGCGGACGAGGCACAAAGCGTTTACACCAGCGCCAAAGAGTTTCCTTACGACCATGTGATGCATGACAAAGAGGTGTCTTTCAAAAAAGGCACTGACACAAGGATCAACATCAAAGTCAAAGCCCAAAGAAGATCACTAAAAGCCTTCCTCCTCCTGTGTGTAGAGCCGTATACTGTGGGCGACAGAGATTCAGAAAAATTCATCTTCCCGGATCTGACGAAAGTCAGCGTCACAGTCAACGGCTCGCCCAACAGGCTTTTCAACGATGGCATTGAAGGCAAGGACATGGGATGAGGCCCACCGCTTCTTCGTGAAAGAAAAAGATAAAACCGAGCACATGAATACGACAAAGGTTTACACCGGTGATAAGTTCGGGCTTGTGATTGACATGCGCTCCATGGCGGAGCAGTCGATGCATGGCAGCGGCACCCGCATTGTGAACAGTACAGACGGTATCCAGCTGGAAATTGAGCAGAAAGCTGAAGGCTCAGGCGACGTGAAATGCCATGTATTCGTAATCTCCGACTCCCAGTTCAACGTTATGGACAGACAGCTCGAATCTGTACAGTTTTAATATGGTTCCAAGCAAGATACCCTTCAACACTCTCATTGTGGGGCCGATGAATTCAGGAAAATCAAGGTTTGTGGTTGACCAGATCTACGGCCCCTTCCGCTTTAAGCTCGACTACATCGTGCTCATCTGCCCGACATTCGCGCACAACAAGACCTACCACAGAATTGGTATAAATGGTCCAAGAATGGATGTGATAGTATGCAAGCAGCACGAGGTGGAAATGTGGTTGAAGATCGTGATATGGCTTTTCGTGGACGCCAACACACTCATAATCCTAGACGACTGCGCAGCCTCCAAAGATGTGAAAGGGCATACAGGTGAGCTGCTGAATCTCGCCTTTTCTGCTCAGCATATGGGCATCAGGGTTTGGGTGCTGACCCAGAAGTTGACCGGCATAACATCTTCCTTCCGGGCGAACATTGAAACATTTTTCATTTCCTTTGAATACACATTTGTTTCAGAATGTCTACCGAACAATCTCAGAGCTCACCTCAGGTCGAGACCCGGGCAGCACCTGCAGTCGATGCCACACAGCAAGCGACAACTCCGACTGCAACCATGCAGCGCGTAAAAAATCCAAAGCGTGTGGC